TCCCCTCCCCCTCCCCCTTCCCCTCCCTCTCCCTCTCTCTCTGGTTCTGATAACTGAAGGGATGGGGAGCTCCTAGGAGTGGGATCTGTGTTGTGTGTGCCTCTGTGTGTGACTTGCATCATCATCCCAGAATTCAAGAGCACCAAGGCACATAAGAGGGTCCCATCTGGAATCTGGAACCAGGACTGTCCAGCTGTTGACCCAGCCTGGCCCTGCCTTCCAGATGTCAGTCTCTAAACGAGCTCGGAAAGCCTCCAGCGACCTGGATCAGGCCAGTGTGTCCCCATCGGAAGAGGATTCTGAGAGCCCATCCGAGTCAGAGAAGACCAGCGACCAGGTGAGTGAACAACAGCCCCAGGACAGCCTGGCACGGCAGCCAGCACCCCTGACGCTCCTGTCCCTTCACTCAGGACTTTACCCCAGAGAAGAAGACAGTAGCCCGGGCACCACGGCGGGGTCCTCCAGGAGGACGCAAGAAGAAGGTAAAGTGCTGTGCCCACGTCCCGAGAAGCCACTAGCATCCTAAGGGGCTTTTGATGGCAATGGTACCTGGGTACCTAGGTGCAGTGATGCCCCTGGGGCCTGTGGGTCACTGCTCCCAGGGGACCCCACTTACCAGGATTGGAAAATCAGGTCTTGCTTGCTGGAAGGTTGTGGCATCAAAGGTCACACGTGCTGTGTGCATGTGGGGGTGAGAGGACCTGTGTTCACAAGACTGCTTGTGCATGTGCACATGTGCTCGTGTGTCTGTGGCCATGTGTGTGATGTGGATGTTGTACTGTGGCGTGCGTGCGTGCGTGCGTGCGTGCGTGCTGTGGGGGAACTGGACAGTACGAGGGAGGAAGCAGACCTGTCCACCTGTGCAGGTTTTCAGTGCACACCTGCCCTGGACCATCCTGGGCTGGGCCCTGATCCTGTCCCCAGGAGCTATCCAGGGTGTCCAGGACTCATGTTCTTGCTGTGGGTGAGGCACAGAACTGTGTCCTTGGGGACTGCAGCTAGCTGCCTCTGCCCCGTCGTCACCTTCACTCTGTGCGACACCCCCTGGCTCTGCCTGTCCCCAGAAGGTGCCTGCAGCCTCAGATTCAGACTCCAAAGCCGACTCAGATGGGGCCAAGGAGGAGCTTGTGGCTGCAGCACGGCCGTCCCCATCCTCCTCCTCGTCCTCTTCATCCTCTTCCTCCGACTCAGATGTGTCTGTCAAGAAACCCCCTCGAGGCAGAAAGCCAGGTAAGGCCTGAGCCAGCCTCAATGTAGCCCTGGGAAGCCATGGAGAGAAGGTCACCCCTCCTTTTTCGCAGCTGAGAAGCCACCCCCTAAGCCCCGAGGGCGGAGACCAAAGCCAGAACGGCCACCTTCCACCTCCAGCAGTGACAGGTGGGTGTCGGCTGGTGATGTGGGGGCTGTAAGGTATGCCGGGGTCCCTGCTGACGAACTTTCCATCCCAGCGACAGTGACAGTGGTGAGGTGGACCGCATCAGTGAGTGGAAGCGGCGTGATGAGGAGCGGAGGCGCGAGCTGGAGGCCAGAAGGCGACGGGAGCAGGAGGAAGAACTCCGGCGACTGCGAGAGCAGGAGAGGGAAGAGAAGGAGCGCCGCAAGGAGCGGGCAGAGCGTGGGGGCAGCAGTGGGGAAGAGCTGGAGGATGACGAGCCTGTGAAGAAGCGCAGCCGCAAGGCCCGGGGCCGGGCCACACCATCCTCCTCTGACTCCGAACCCGAGGGGGAGCTTGGGAAAGAGGTGCGTGGTACCCCCTCTTCACCTGAGGCCCCAGGCACTGGCCCTGGGCTCCACTCCTTTATTGAGCACCTACTGGGTACTGGGGCCCATCCTGGGTATTGGAGATAAGGTGGTAACACAGAGCCCAGGGTCCTGGCCATAGAAGATAGGGACAGCCAGTTGAGGGTCCTTCCAGAGTATAGGGCTTGCCTGTTGCATTGATCCCTGGATTCCACACCTCTGTGGAAGACCAGGGAAGCTATAGCCCACATGTGCTGGGTGGGGGTGGGACAGGCTGCCCCTAAGGCAGCAACCCTGTCCTCTGGCCGCTGTAGGGGAAGAAGTTGGCCAAGAAATCCCAACAGCCAGGCTCAGAGTCTGCAAGGAAGCCCGGGCAGAAGGAGAAGAGAGGGCGGCCGGACGAGAAGCCACGAAACAGGTTAGCGCCTGTCCTGAGCCTTGGACCTAATCCCTCCTCTCCCCCTCCCTCCCCACCCCCACCCCACCCCACCCCCCACCCCCCGGGCCTGGCTGTTGAGTTCAGCCTTGGAGCTGCGTCCATCCTAGGGTTCCAGCTCTTGGGGCTGCAGTCTCCCCTGGAGCCATGTGTGGCAGTCAGACTAGGAGCTCCTGGCCTGTAGTAGGTAGAGGCCAGCATCACTGCCCAGCACCCTGCAGGGCCCAGGACCCAAAGAGCCATCCAACCAGTGTCCACAGCACCCAGGGGACACCATACCCAGCATGGTGGCTTTAACTTTGAGCCTGCAAGTGGAGAGGTGCAGCTCATCTCTGCTCTCAAAGTGTCCCAACTGTTTCTGATCAAAGCTGCCCGTGGGGACCAGAAGTGTGGCACAGTGGCCACACAGCACGGGGTGTGATGTGCTGAGCTTCTCATGGTTAGCCTGGTGCACAGAAGCAGAGGAGGGCCCCAGGCCCCTGGCCTGGCTGGCCGTCCTCACTTAGGGCCTTCCAAGGTGGCCTGTCTGATGGGACCCTCTTCATAGGCCTGTGAAGGTGGAGCGGACGCGGAAGCGGTCAGAAGGCCTCTCGCTGGACAGGAAGGGGGAGAAGAAGAAAGGTGAGCGCTAGCATGGTGCAGGATTCCCAGGCTCCGGGTGCAGGCCTGTGGTGGTGGAAGGCTGGGCCACCTTGTAGCCCGGGCCAGAGCACCCTGCTCAAGCCAGTGTCTCTCCTGCCCAGAGCCCTCTGTAGAGGAGAGACTGCAGAAGCTGCACAGCGAGATCAAATTTGCACTGAAGGTCGACAACCCAGTAAGATGCCTGCTGTGCAGCCCACAGGGTCACAGCCCCATGCTGTCCTGAGATGGGTGCTTTCCTTAGCCACCTCCTTTCAGGCTCCTTGGAAGTCTTGGGAAACTGAGGCAGGGTCCCCCAGGTTGGAGAGTGGTTTCATATTGGCCCAGGAAACTCCACCCCCACGCCCATACCCTGCAATCTCCCCTGGGGACAGCAGGTGGCATCCTAGAAGTCAGCCAGAGCTGCTTTCCACCACTCTTCCTGCCCTGCAGGACGTGAGGAGGTGTCTGAACGCACTGGAAGAGCTGGGGACCCTGCAGGTGACCTCTCAGATCCTTCAGAAGAACACAGATGTGGTAGCCACACTGAAGAAGGTATGGCATGGGGCACTGGGGCAGAGCACCTGGAAGATGGTGGTGTCCAAGGGGAGAGCTTGGGGACACAGTCAGCCGCTCTGCTAAGTTTAGCCTCCTGGTGGCTAGATTCGCCGGTACAAGGCCAACAAGGATGTGATGGCGAAGGCAGCAGAGGTCTACACCCGGCTCAAGTCTCGGGTCCTGGGGCCAAAGGTTGAGGCTCTCCAGAAGGTGAACAAGGCTGGAGCCGAGAAGGAACGGGCTGACGGCGAGAAGGTGGAGGAGCAGCCAGGGGAGCAGGCTCCCAGAGAGCTGGTAGAGGATGAGCCCAGCACCGGTGAGGGCCGCCTGTACCTGGCCAGTAGGACAGGTTGAGACTGCATGTGTTCGCCCCCAGCACGCTTACTAGACCCAACCACATTCTGGATAGCTGCATAGCTCCACTGGGTGCTAGCAGTTGGGTGTTAGCAGTGCTCTCTGGGCCACAGCACCTATATGCATGCGCCTACACTGTTTATAAGCTCATGATGACCCTGTCACCCTAGATCTCTCAGCACCTGTGAATGGTGAGGCTGCATCCCAGAAGGGGGAGAGCACAGAAGACAGAGCACAGGAAGATGGGCAGGACTCAGAGGACGGCCCACGGGGCGGCTCCTCAGAAGAGCTGCATGAGTGAGTGTCCCTGGGGCATTAGGCACATTCCCTGCACGATGGAGCTCTCCCCCCACCCCTACCACATCTTGGGGCCAGCCATTAGGCCACCAGGCTTCCAGTTACTTGTACTCTGGGAGGGGCTTCCTGCTGACTGTCCAGGGGTGGCCCTAGTAGCCACCATGAGCACCTGCTACTGGACTGAGCTACAGTTGGCCTGGGGAAGGTCAGGAAGGCCACACTAGACAGGTGCTGTCAGCGAGGAAGGACATTACCCCTTTGTGACTGCCCACCCACCCGATGGCCGTGTGGCAGCACCAGGTAACTGCATCCTGACCGACCTTCACTATGCTCCCAGCAGCCCTCGGGACAGCTCCGACCCCGCCAGGCCTGGGAGTGAGCATCAGGAACATGAGAGGGCGCGGCTGGCCTCCGAGTCTGCTGATGATGACGAGGACAGCTGAGCTCCAGCCACTATGGCCATGGTGCCATGTCCGTCCCCAGCCTCCCAGGGAAGTGCTGCGCTGTTTGTATTTGTGGCCTGGGCCTTTCTGCCTAGTTCTGTGACTTCGATTGACATGAAATGGCTATAAAGGTTTTATAATGAAAAAGAAACAGCTTTTATTGGCTTGGTGTTCTGATGTGAAATGCAGCTGGGCTAGGGCCAGGGCACTAGGCCTGACACAGTGCTGAGGTACCAGCCACCATGAGCAGCATGGGAGCCAGGCCTGGCACAGGGCAGGGTTCCCATTTACAGCTCAGCAGCTCTTCCCGCAGTGAGTGGCCTGTTGCTGTGGAGCAGACGCTAAGGACAGGCCAACAGGAGAGACTCAGCCCCGTCATGGCCATCGCCAGCTATGCAGGGGCCACCAGTGGAGGCCAGCATAGTGGTTCTGGGCAGCTCAGCACTGGGCTGGAGTGGTGTAGTCCACACTGTCCCATCCTGCTCTCGCTGTGTGGCTTTGAGCAGTGGCTTTTCCACTCTGCTGTGTTCCCTGTGGGCTCAGGTTGGGTACATGCCTCCCAGTGTATCCCCCTGCCTCCGTGGCCACCAAGAACTGGACATGATGTAATGAGGCTCATCTCCTGGAGGACTTAGCTGCAGGCCATCAGTGTTTGTCAGTGGCTGAGTCGGTGTTGTGCTGACATGGCAGAAGGGCAGGGAACGGCTCGGGAAGGCTCCTTGCCATCTCCGTCATGGCATTCCTATGTCACAGCTGGCCCAACCTTGGAACTCAAGGACATTGTTACTTTCCAAGGGTGCAGATTAAAGGGAGCTGAACGGTTGGGGGTTGTTAGCACTGCCGAGGTTCAGGGAGGGCTGTGCTGTGGCCTTGGGTGATGTGGCCACAAGGGAATGCCTTGGGCCCCATCATTTCCTGTGCTTCGGACTTGAGTGCATAGGGTGAGGGAGAGGGCCATCACCTGCCCATGTCTCCTGTCAGCACAGCCTTCAACTCTGAGCAGGCCATGTGCTTTTGCAGGCCGCGTCCATGGGCAGGCCGCGTCCTGGGCAGGCCGCGTCCATGGGCAGGCCGCGTCCATGGGCAGGCTGTGTCCTGGGCAGGCTGTGTCCTGGGCAGGCCGTGTCCATGGGCAGGCTGTGTCCATGGGCAGGCCGCGTCCTGGGCAGGCCGCGTCCATGGGCAGGCCGCGTCCTTACGCAGACCACAGCTGCTCAGAGCAGTGCTGGCCCTGTTAAGTCAGCCCTGTCTCCATTCAGTAATGTTTGTGACCCTCATTTTCCCAACAGAGCAGGTCTGAGGCCTAAAGCATCCTGGGATATAAGTGTGTGGCTTTGAGTGGCTCTACCCCCCACTAGCTATCAGAAGAGGCTGTGGGAGCTTAACTTAGGGTGGCTGTGCATTCTAGTACATTCTAGTGCCAGGGAACAAGTTGCCTAGTATATCAGCTAAGAGCTCTGGATGCCCCAGCGTGGGGCCTGGGGTGGAGTGACGCCATCCGTGGTGGAGAGCCCTGAAGGTAGGGTCAGAGCCCCCAGGGTGGAAGGCTTACCAGTGGGTATGGCTAGAAGACCTTCTAGGTTTGCCTGTGCATCTGCTTTGCTCTGTCGTGGAGACCTGTGTGGACGCTCTCTGGACAGACTTGGTGACTAGTTTGGAAGAGGGGCCCTCAGTTCTTGGAAATAGCAGGAGCCGTAGCTGCTTTCAAATTCACTTTCCAAGGACCCTCTGCTCCCACTTAACCCAGAGCTTTGGGGAAGTGCAGCCCTCAGATGCCTACAGCTGGCCGCCAGGGGTCAAAGCAAACGGCCCCACTAGCCAGCCAAGTGGGGGGCTCTGCTGCAGCCTGTCCAGCAGCACCTCCAGACCCTGCCATGTCTGGACCACACCGGCACTGCTCTGGGCCAGCTGCTCTGCCTGCAGCTTGCCGCCACTCGAAGAGGACATGAGGCCGTACAGCTTGCAGAGGCTGTGCCGCGCCAGCCCTGCCTGCTGCTGCACTTCTGGCAGACCCTGCAGGCTGGCTGCCAGGCCGCTGTAAGCTGCATGGAGCTGACGGGCTATCGTGCACAGCCTGTCCTGAGCCCCGGAAGCAGGAACCTGAGGAGAAGGAACAAGGTAAGCGGGGTGGGGCATGCAGTGGGGCGCTGGGGAGGGCTGTGGCACACACACACACCTCATGGGTACCAGCGGCCTCCACCGCGGAGCTCAAGCTCTGGTCCCTGCAGAGCTGCCCGCCTGGCGCTTCCATGGCCATGTCTGTCTGGAAAGAGAGCCACAGAAGAGGTGGTGGCTCTAGTGGAGGTAGGACACTCGGTGTTGTCCCTGGATCTTGAGTCTAAACCTCCTCCATACGTGGTGCAGCCAAAACACAAGTTCCCCATGAGGGCATCTGGAAGGCCAGGTGGTGGTCCCTGTCTGTGTCCATTTATCTCCCACCCACTATTGCCCTCTGCATATACACACAGGTTCCCTTCTGTCCCTGCCCATTATCACACTTTCCCCTGGAATCTGCTGCCCTACACCACCATGCCTGCTTTGTCCCTCCCATATTCCCTGGGTGTCTACATGGCCAGGGATGGGGTGGGCAGATGAAAGGGATGACACCGGGCACCCAGAATTAACAGGCCTCTGTGTCCATAATACCCCGCAGAATCCTGGAGACAGGACACTGGGTGAAGAACCCCTTGCTAGGGCCCTGTCACCCTCACCACCCTCTCCCTTGGCTTCACAGATTCTAGCCACACACCCTGCTCACTAAATGAGGCTAGAACAACCATGCCCTAGCTTCCTCTGTATGCAGGTGGCTTAGCCCATTAGGCACTTGGTCAGTGAACAGTTGGAAGTTCCCAGGGTGGGAACCAGAGATGCGCTTACCACCTGTAAGACCTCCTGGAGCTGGGCCAGTGCAGCCCTGGCTTGGAACTGGTTGTGCTGTATGTGGCTCAGGGCATGTTCAAAAGCCCGCTGGCGGAAGCTGGGTGTCAGGTCACCCAGGCGGACAAAGTAGCTTCCCCGGTCAGCAGATAGCACCCGGGGCCCTGACTCCAAGGCTGCCAGCTGGGCTGGAAGGAAAGCAGTGAGACTCAGTCTGAGAGGTCCCTTGAGGCGCTCATACTGGAGCTAAGGACCTGTAATGGGAGGGATGGGCACTCACCTTGTTCCTCAGCTGTCATGGGCTGAAAGATGTCCCCTAGTCCCTCCAACTCATCATGAAGTGCAGCAAAGTTTATAGCAGCCAGCTGACCACACTCATCCTCAGACCTGGAGGCTGCGTGGGCAGATGAAACTACACCAGACACAGGATCTTTGGTGGCAGCTGTGGGTTCCGTGACAAGCCCCAAGCCACATGTGTCTGCAAGACTGCTGATCTCAGAGCACAGGGACTCTGCAGAAGTCAGAGTAGCATGTTTGACTCCTTGGTTGGTGGCTTTGTAACTGCCAGGCTCATAACATGTGGTGGCATGAGAGCTGTAGAGTGAACTCGGCACTGTGTGGACACTTGTGTGGGTGGCATTGATGGCCACATTATCTGCCGGAGACAGCATGACAGACTGTGTGTCTTTGGTTGTGTCCAGGCCCTTCTGAATGACACCTTTAGCCATGTTCATGGCCCCAGTGATCCCAGCAGAGATGGTATCCTTCGTACCTGTGAGCACGCTCTTGCTGGTGTCCAGGCCCGTCTGCACTGTCCCCTTGGCCACATTCATGGCCCCCGTGAGTCCTGTGGTCAC